TTTTACCCAATGTTCTCTAAACTCATTGATGTCTGCCTTATAAAATGAACCAAAATACGAATTTTTCCTGTATAATCATAGTAAGCACCGCTCAAGTGTTGAATGGATCAGACCTTTCTTTATACATCCTGATGTTTGCGTTTCTCATAGCGCATCTCCATTTGTGGTCAGGAAAATGCTCTAGTCACATCACTGACTTGATTTTTCTGCCGTTCAAGTTCCTTTTTCAGCTGAATCTGAATGTTGCTATTGTTAAAACTTTCTGAAGTTTATAAGGCTTATTTTAAGCCCTCAAATCTCAAGAAATACTTCTTCCAACATATCAGCTTATTGTCTATGACAGTTTGTGTCTTTAGATGTAGGGAGACTAATGCCGTATCAATTAGTGATCGTAATTTGTCAAGGTGTTTTATGAAATTGATAAAAAAACATTTATGTATAGAAATGAAGTAGCATTTTTCTTTTTCTAGGAGATGATTTTTTAAAACCTCTTACGTTTCTTCACCATTCTATGATCCAAGTTTGTACGGTTAAGAATTCTTTTGGGGGAGGGTATAGCTCAAGTGGTAGAGTGCCTGCTTAGCATAGACAAGGTCCTGGCTTCAACCCCCAGTACCTCCTCTAAAAATAAAATAAGTAAGTAAACCTAACTACCTCCCTCCCCCCCAAAAAACAGTTTTTAAGTAAAAATAAATAAATAAGTAAAAATTAAAAAAAAAAGAAGAATCCTTTCATCAGGCCCAACAGGAGTTCATTAACACAGGCAGCATGACATAGATTATATTTCCTACCTGTCAACATTGTCTCTCCATTCATTCAAATCCCACTTGTTCACAAAAACAGCTCGACTCTTGTTTTGTATGTGAAATCTTCCCAAACTCTCCTGGCTTCCCCTCACCAAAGCACATCATTCTCTGGCCTCTACCAGCAGCCCCCACTTCACCAGTTCATGTTTGGTCCCGTGTTATCTTGTAGTGTTTTCTGTGTGATGTTTTTGCCTCCTCAACTATCTTTTTAGCTCCTTGAGGACAAAGATGACTCATACTTTTCTTTCTATGCTTAGTTAATTCTGGTACATAAAAGCTAAATGTGCTCATATCTGACGTTATAAATACTCTTTATAGAATATTAAAGCTGGAAAGGGTCTAAGAAATTATCTGACTCCTCCTCATTTTGAATAAAAGACTAAGTCTTAGAGAAGGTAAGTAATTTGTTCAAAGGTTCTGGCATGGATATAGTGATTTAACTCCATTAGGGAAACATATACACAATTTGGCACATTAGCGAACTGTTTTCTTTATGTTTGCAGGAATATTTTATTTTTTGGTACCTGTTATATACCAAGCATTTTGCTGAGGACTGGAGATACAGAGAAAATATAATCAAGACAAGGCAAGGCCTTTATGTGGACAGATTCAACAATACTCTATATAATATTTTTTAGAATGAATAATCTTATGGAGCAAAATAATACTCAGATTTTTTCTCAATACTTGTGCTCTATATGTTTGAATTCTGGGATTAACATTTATTTTAAAAATAGTTACATTTCACATTAAAGATGTTCAGATTTTAAGTTTCTTTTTTTATTGGAATAAGAGTTTATGATCATTTAATTTCACAATGAAAATTGCCATAGTTGGATCTTTTTTTTTGAGTCTATAGTCTCTGTTGTAAATAACCAAATTTAATT